CAGCGCCGCCTCGTGATTGGGCAGGAAGCTGAGGGGAAACCAGTGAAAACCAGTATGAACCAGTATAAACCAGTATAAACCAGTACAAACCAGTTCAAACCAGTATAAACCAGTATAAACCAGTGAAAACCAGTATAAACCAGTATAAACCAGTATAAACCAGTATAAACCAGTATAAACCAGTTCAAACCGGTATAAACCAGTATAAACCAGAATAAACCAGTATGAACCAGTATAAACCAGTATAAACCAGTATAAACCAGTCTAAACCAGTATAAACCAGTATGAACCAGTATAAACCAGTATGGACCGGTTTAAACCGGTTTAAATCACTTTGAATCAGTTTAAATTGGTTCAAACCAGTTTAAACCAGCCCAAACCAGTTTAAACCAGTCCAAACCAGTTCAAACCAGCCCAAACCAGTTCAAACCAGTTCAAACCAGTTCAAACCAGTTTAAAACCAGCCCAAACCACTCCAAACCAGTTCAGACCAGTTCAAACCAACGCAAACCAGCCCAAACCAGTATAAACCAGTCCAAACCGGTCCAAACCAGTATAAACCAGTATAAACCAGTATAAACCAGTATAAACCAGTCTAAACCAGTTTAAACCAGTCCAAACCGGTCCAAACCAGTCTAAACCAGTCTAAACCAGTATAAACCAGTCCAAACCAGTCCAAACCAGTATAAACCAGTATAAACCAGTACAAACCAGTATAAACCAGTTAAACCAGTATAAACCAGTACAAACCAGTATAAACCAGTCACTTACTGGGAGCTCAGCTGCGATCTCTCCTGCCGGGAGAAGCTCCGCCCCCATTCGCGCTGGGAGGGGGGAGGGGCGGGGTCAGTCCCAGTTCAAACCAGTCTAAACCAGTCTAAACCAGTCCAAACCAGTCCAAATCAGTCTAAACCAGTCCGAACCAGTCCGAACCAGTCCAAACCAGTTCAAACCAGTCCAAACCAGTCCAAACCAGTCCGAACCAGTCCGAACCAGTCCAAACCAGTTCAAACCAGTCCAAACCAGTCCAAACCAGTCCAAACCAGTCCAGACCAGTCCAAACCAGTCCAAACCAGTTTAAACCATTCCAAACCAGTCTAAACCAGTCCAAACCAGTCCAAACCAGTCTAAACCAGTCCAAACCAGTCCGAACCTGTCGCAGCAGCCGGGTCAGGTTGGGCTCCGC